GTTACCAGAGCCAGCTAAGTGGGCTGACAGTCGCACTGGAAGAAGCCAACAATCCATAGAAATACAGCAATTTGCTAATGCACAATCAGGAGCTGCCATATCAGCTAAGGACTTGCATTTCAACCTGCAATGCTTATGCAGCACAATCTTGGTCTTATAATCACTGCAGGCTGTGAAATTGTTTGGGACATGTTAGTTAACCTGAGTACTAGCAGTTCTACTACCAGCTGGCCCACAAACTTAATATTCACAGAATTACTGCCCTGATTTTAGGATGTATGTTCCAGTATCACAATGGCTATGGTGGCCCCCAAAATAGGACATTTTGCTACCAACACAAACTCTCAGGGAGTCTGGACTTACTTATCATCACAGGAGGAGGCTTCAGAACAGAAGCTGTCTTACTCTAGATGTAAGCAAGCCCTCATCAGTAACCTTACAGCATGGTTGACAGTTGTCAAAAACCAGGTTCAATCAGCTGGTTATGCAGTAGAAGGAAGCCTCTCTGAGCAGCAAATTATCACAGATAATAGATAAAAAAGCATCTGTCCTCAAAGCTGTGTATATTTTTTCCAACATAGTGATAGCAACAAATGCCCTAGTGAGTCAGTGCTTGTGTCAACAAAAGGGTTCTTCTGCTAATAAAACATTAGCTACTTCCCAAACAAAACAATTTGTCCTACAAGACATCACTTTTTAAAATCAATGAAATGAAATTACATCTTGCTTAGGATGGATATCTGTTAGCCACAAATGTGATTCTTTTTTCATACTCTTTGCCAACTTCAGCATAAAAGCAAAACTTCTCAGCATAAAGCAAGGCTGCCTGTTTAAGTATAAATAAGATGAAAAGTCCTTATCAGATGCTAATCTGCCTGTATTCACTGACCAATCACTTACTCTTCCTTCAGTTAATAAAGTTATTGAAAAAATAAGCAATATTTTGCAACTAAAAGAAATTGAAACCAACAATAAACTGGCAGAATCACTGTTGATAAAAACACAGCTCTTACAAAATAATTAATACCTAACATGTCACGCAAGAAAATCAGAGTAATAAAAGAGCAGCGTCTGAATACAGAAGAGACAAGAAGAAACTACAGGCTTGCAGACCAGCACAACAAGGGTAGAACTGACAGATTCATCACCATGACCATCTTGGTTCAGAGAAGTTTACTGCGAGTTTGCATTACTTTGGCACTATATATCAAAATCTCACACCACATTTGCTTTCACCAAGGAATCAAAATGAACCACCAGAACATTAACTTCCTACACAAAATGGGTGGATATTTTTCTCATCAGTGTCTCAATGAAACAATTGATTTCGGATTTCCCAGGGAGATCATGAAGATCACACAAAAGAATGCAACAGTGGTCATCTATGAGTTCCTCCAACAGACTTTTCAGCTATTTAGCAAAAATCACCCCAAAGGTGTTTGGAATACAGGCAATATTGAAAAATTTCAAAATGGAATTCATCAGCAAATTGAAGAATTAGAAATTTGTTTGTTGGAAGAACGACCAAGGGCACGGAACAGCTTTCAGATGCAGATGCTAAAGAGCAGTACCCTCAGTATGAAGAAGTACTTCCAAAGAATCACCAGCTTCCTTAAAGACAGGCAATACAGCCACTGTTCCTGGGACGCCGTGCAAACAGAACTGAGATCATGCCTCATAATTTTTGACAGCCTTATGAAAATCACACATCAAAAAAAGGTAAAATCTTTTGTATTTGTGTTCTTTGTCAGGCACTGGTAAATTCCCCCTTCTTGGAAGGTTTTAAATCTCTGCATTTGAAATATTTTCAGGTCAGATTTTCGGTACTTCAGACTTGCAGACAAGATATTTGGTGCTCTGAGTTAAGCACACAGAATACTTCAGTGAAAGGACAGTTGGTATCACCAGCTGCTGTTGGAGATGAACTTTTTGAAAATGTGGGGGTCATCCTGCTCCTACATACTCCTTCTCTACACTATAAATGTATTCTCTGGTCTTTTCACAGAATACGCCTATTGCTTAACAGCCTGAAGCTCTTGCATGAGGACACTGTTCTGATACACTGTACCCCTGCATCATTTCACTTATGCAGAAAGAAGACCAAGATGCAGACATGCATGAAGAAGACAAATCCTCCTGGAGTCCTGATGCAGTATAGATCTTAATTTACAAAACAGACAAGATTAATCAGAAAACATTTACTGTATGGATATGGATGCAAACAAGTTTATTCCACTCCTCTATCACCTTTGCTCCTCTCATTGCAGAGCCAAGGAGTGTTTCAAATAATTGTATTCATCAGTTTAACTGCTTCCCAAAATACCTTGAAAACCTTTGGGCTTTGGTACCACTCCTCATGTACTACAATACTGTACGGTTTTCAAAATGCTTTTTTATATGCTTCAGATTTCTAATGATATTTGATTTCCCAAGTATGTTCATCACAAATGGTACATGTTCAATTGGAATGCAAGAGGAAAAGTTAAAACAATATATCTAATAGGGGAATGTGAAGAAAAAGAGCAAATACTCAAGGACATGAAGTTCAATACACTGCTACTGTTACCTAAGCACAGACTCTCAGCACTTTGCCAGAGAAGTGTGAGGGTTGACAGCAACTTTTATCACATCCTTCCCTTTTTAAAATCCATTCCCCCCTTAGGAAAAAACAAAACAAAACAAAACAAAATAAAACAAAAAACTAACAGAATAGCTACAACTGCCTAATTTTTTACATTTAAACATTGAGCTAAGGAGACAAAGCCAATAAAGCCCACACTCTCCATTCCCATACACTCCTTTTCAACAGAAATGAGGGGAGAGGGAACAAATTTCAGACTCCCCCATGTACATCTGCTCTCAATCACCAAGGTAAGAGGTCAACTCTTTCACAGGTTATATAGGGAACATAAGACCAATCAGTAACGCTTAACACATAGTTAATGTTCAGTTTGCAACAACCTCATTAATCAGCCTCCGAAGTGGAATCTTTGTTCCGTTCATTTAAGGACTTTGCAACTGAAATGAGATCAGGGCGATGTTTCATGGCAGTATGTTCAAATACATTCCATTATGACTTTGCCTTAATTTTTGCTTTTTACTGTAGGCAATCCTACTTGATTTTGCATATCCAACATAAATAACTTGAAGAACTGCAACCCATGAAGTTAAGGTTTCCCTATGCATATATTACACATGGAGTAATGTCCAAGACAATGCTTTCCAAATCTGCACTTGGATTTCAGAAAGGTCAGAAGTCACCACAAGTTACAGTAGATATGACTGGACTTCAACCTCACACATTCTACTACATTCTTTTAATTCTTCGTGGGATAAAAGGATATTTTTCTGACAGCCTGTGAATAAAAGCCCATCCCTGGGCAATTTGGAAGTACTGGCTTCTTTCATCTGCTCTTGCAAGGAAGTGCTTTAATTAACCTTATACACATATGCCTATTAACTTGTGTGCATTACTATCAGTTGTGACTGACACTTCCAGATGCTCTTATACTTTGAAAAAGGTAAATGAGATTGTAAAGCCAAACACTCATTAGTCTGGTCCGGTATTAAATGGGGAGGTTGGTAGCCTTGCCTGTGGCACTGGGAGTTGGAGATCAATGATCCTTGAGGTCCCTTCCAACCCCAGCCATTCTGTATGATTCTGTGATCAGTACAGAGATTCAAAATCACTTACAATTTCCTTGAAGGAAAAACTTAACTACATCTTCAAATCTGGAAGCTGGACAGCTTCTTGACTGTTCTCTTTGGTAATAGAATATAAAGGAGGATTCTGTATTTTGCAAAGAAGTACAGACTGAAATGTTCAGTGCTAGCTTTTGTACCATACTGTACTGGTCAGTGAATGGCTGGATCACTTTGATAGATGCAAATGACAAACTGCATTATGCAAACTATGTTTTGTATGACTAAAGGGTGAGAAAATATAGCCCTCAACCATGTTTCTTTGGTTTCAGCATACTGACAATGCTATTGGGCAAGGTTTAAGCCTCCTAATCAGTTTAAGTGTCTGTTCAGCACTCACTCCAATACAATTTAGAGACTACATTCATTTATCTGCTTGTATTTGTATTAAAATATCAGTGCTGTGTAATCATGATTAATGAATTTTTTTTGTTTGTTTTTGTACTCTCAAATGGTAATAAATGCAAAGTTACAAAAAGAAAAATCAAAAACCAACCCTCACTACAGAGGCGAAAGACTCATTTTTAAGCCCACAGGGGTCAAGTGAAGTAGTTGGATATACCAAACTTTACTAGCCATGCAATTTGCTACAATCTTTCTGAATTAAATTCTTGTACCTTTTAATAACACAAGCATAAATTCAGTCTTCACACGAAAACAGAAAATGCATTTTTTCTGACTATGATGGTGTAGTAAGGAAATGCTATGAACAGCAGAAGAGGCAGATTTTTTATATCTGAACAAAGATTTCTTTGCTCAAAAATATCTTGGAAAATTTCTAATAATCAGACTGAAAAGCCCCCTTCTCTCAAAAAGCATGTTTCCATGAAGGTATTTGATAGGGTAAGTCTCTCTTTAATTCTTTTTTTATTTAAATTAAATCAGATTAAATTTATGACTACAAGTCATGATGACCCAATTTAAAATCATTCCTCCTTCCCCAACTTTTTTTCAGTTCCACATTCTCTTCCTATTCTAACATTTATTGAACCTTTTCCTCAGTTCAGAAGAGAAAATAAAATGTGGCAACAAGATTTATTAATTACAGGGAAAGCATGGTTACTGTCTAATCTGTTACTTACTGTCTAACCTAAACTCCTTTAAACAACAGCCTCTTTGTAAGCCTGACTCTTACATCCTTAGCCATTCTGTCCTTCATTTGTAAGTGTGCTTTTCCTTTTCTTTCTTAGTAATGAGCTAATGACCCATCAGCAAATACTGAATTAATAAGCTACTACTTCCCTGGAAATTTACCTGTTCAGTAGTTAGGATTAAAATTCCAGTTATATCCTACCCACCTCCTCAACTTCCTGTCTGATCTCATTTCACCTCCACAACCCAGAATAGGCTTACAGGACTCATGCCTGCCAGAGGTACCATCAAAATGCTGATAATATCCTAAAAGAGAAAAACAAAAATAACAGTGTTTAGTATATAAACTATTCCATCTGAGATCTCAGTGTGTCTGACTCATAGGAAAGATTAAATATTTAATGAAGAACTGTGCCACGTGGTTTTCCTGTAACACTTTTAAACAATTATTATTCTGAAACATCTCTGAGGTCCATGTTTCCAGAGCGCTCAGCTCTCCTCACTTTTCTGATCCAGAACACAAGTACTTTCCTCTGGGATCTTGAATGGTGCTGAGTACTTTGCTGGCAGCTGATAAAGAAGCATTTGCTATGATGGAAGTATCAGCAAAGGAGCCGAAGTGATTTGGTCCAGCCCCAAGTTTCATAACACTCATGGGCTCTTAGCAGCCCAGACTACTCCACCAGCACTGAAGCAAACAGCATTAAATCATAACTAACTCCTAGTCGCCTGATGCCAAACAATGCCACACTATAATGCTATATCCACCTCCTAAAAGGAGGCGACTCTTCAGTCAGCTTAAGGGCACCCTGTCTATCTTGTATCTCTCTTCTTTCTGTCTTACTGAGATGTGCACACTGTCTCTGCTACAAAAGAACAGATTATTCCTCGTTTGTGTCCGGGAAACTCTTTTGTCTCCCCTTAGAGAGGAGAAAGCAAAGCTGTCACAAATGTTGGTCCACCCAGAAGAATGCAGATCTTAGCACAAGTTGCTCGGCTATAGTGGGATGGAGAGGATCAGGTTCTCCACGTATGTGCTGGACAGCATCCTGGGCATAAACTGCCCAGTTTGAGGAGAACATATTGAAGACTTTCTCCTTCCGTTCCTCTCTTTACAAGCAGTGACATTATACCTTATTATACACAAGTGATAGCCTGTGTGAAAATGCAGTTACAAACAGCTTAAGGAATAGAAACAATCCTGTTTCCTATGGGATAAATTACTGCAATCCGAGCAGAGGTAGGAAGGATTCTCAGCCACCCTTTATCCATCTGATAAGCAGAGGCAACTTGTTCTTGCACCGGCTTGGTTCCAGCATCGTTTGGAACAACTTGCTTATGAGAGCTGCCCACAAGCAGCCTCAGAACAGGCTGACCTGACCGCTGAGTTGGAGCAGGAAGGTTTTTACATCTCCCAATGCCGTATGACAGCACCCTCACCCAAGAACAGTCCGACTGCCTGCAGGGTCAGTCAGCAGTAGGGCTGTCCTCAGCACAGAGCTTGCTGGTCCTCGCAATCACTCACGTCTCCATTGCCGGTCCCGAGCCAGCCTGAGCAGCTGCCAGGCTGTCACACCGGGGCGGTGCAAAGCCAGGCAGAGATTTCAGACCCGCGTTCCTCGAGCGAATGAGGAAGTTTAACACGTCGTTCAAGAAGCGGCCAACCCCACCAACTAAAAGCAAGGTGTGCTCAGCCCGTCCCAAACACCTGGCGGCCGGGCCGTGAGGATGCTCCTACACGAACGCGATCCCCGATACCACAGAAGGGCAGCAGAAGGGCCGTGCCTCAGAGGACGAGCAGGTGACCAAGCAGCTCACCGCCCCGTGAGCTCGGTCGGAGGGCCAAAGCCGACCCTCAGCGACCGGGGCCCGAGCTGCCTGCGGCGGGCACGGCTCCCAGCCCCGCTCCGGGCTCCCGAGCCCTCAGGCTGCGCGGGAGAGCACGCGGAGACGCAGCCTTGTGGAGGGCGAAGCGAGCGGCCGAGCACCGGAGCCAGCCCACCCTACGGCTCCCTAACAGCGGCCCGGCCGGACGGAGCTCCTCGGTTCGGACCGAATCGTTCGCTCCGGGCAAGTTGGCGGGAAAGGGGAGCGGGGCTTACCGCCTTACCTCCGCCTCTCCAGGTGCCCGCCACGCAGCGCTCCGCAGCGGAGGCGGGACAGGACGCGACGCCTCAGCGCGGCTACGCGCGGCTCCCCGCGGCCGCCGGCTCCGCCGAGCCGCTACCCCGCGCCCTCCCCGGCTCGGCTCCCGCCGCGCGGCCCCGCTCGCTCGGCCGGGCGCCTGCCGGAGCCCGCCCTCTGTCGGGCGCGGGGCGGCCGCGCGGGTGCTGAAATGGCGGCGCTGCCCTCCCGCCTTCGGCGCCGTCTCAGCCAGGCTGCCCCGCGTCCCGTCTCCGATCCCGCGCGGGGCGGAGCGAAACTTCGCCACGGACTTACCTCAGCTCGGGCCGCGAGCGGAGCGGTGGGTGGGTGATGGGGCGGAGGGGTCTGAGAACCCGAAGCCTGCCCGCGGGGCTCCTGGTAACGCCGGAGCGGTCGGGCTGTGCTGCGGGGTGGTGTGGGTTTAACCGCAGCGGCGTGGGCTGCAGACCGCGGTCTCCTCCCTCGAGGCAGCAGGATAAGATAAATCGTGGTACTCCTGCAGCCCGTTTGGTTTATCTGATCCCCGGGGTATGTGGGGCCGGCTGACCCCCTCTGCTAAACCCACCTTTGCAGCCTGTGATTGTCTCCGTTGGGAAGCAGCGGCTCTGCAGCTGGGCACAGCCTGCTGTGTGGTGGCAGAGGATCACAGAATCACCCGGGATGGGTGGGATGGAGGGCCTCTCATCATCCCACCTGGCCCGGGCTGCTCTGCGCAGAAAGAAGAGATGGGGAAAGAATCTGCACCCAGCGTGCCCTGTCAGTGCTGTGCCTCGAGGTCACACCATCGAGTTTGTGATGGTGACAAGCCAGAGCCCAAAAAGAGCAAGCAACAGACAGAGTTTTTCTCCGGAACCTGAGCCCATGACACTCTTGTTCATTTCTAATCGTCACAAATGGCTGGAGGTATCAATGGGCTCCAGCCAGAGCAATAGGTGAAGGGGCTGAAGGACAGGTGGCCTTCCAAGCAGGAAGATGCCAGCTGCTCCCTCACAGCAGTCTGATTCTCTATTGGAACACAGCCCCACAGACATCTCATCAGTGCTCTTCTGCTGCTGGGAGAGAAACCAGCAGCCACCCAGCATCAGTTAGTCTGCTCCAGCAGAGGCTAAGCGGGTGTCAATTCAGTCATAAATGCCATGTTGCTCTAAGCACATACACCAAAGATGCTGAAGCCAAAGGCCTTTCCTACCATGCCAAATGAACAGCTCATGTAATAAATGGGCAGTCTTCAGATTAATTGTTCTCAGTATGAACAAACAGAAATGCAATTTAATTCAGCATCAAATGGTTGAGGTCTGCTGTTTATCCTCCACTGCTAGGAAACTGGACCAGAGAACACAGATGAGGCAGATCACAGTGCTATAGTAATAATTCCTTTCAGAGTTTATTTCTGCCTTGTTTTTCCACTATTCTCTTTTTTTAAAGGACATGCACTTGGAGGAAATAGCCCTTAGTCTGCAAAGAAGGAAGAGAGAACATTGGGCTGAGGAGTTCCTCTTCTCACACCAAAATGACTGGAGGTCACACCAGATGCTTGCCCAGCATCAGCTGGATGGGAGATGTCTGGTAAGTCTGATGCAAACTGTGTGTTTTCCTCTGCAGGAAGACATCTCCAACAGGTGACTACCTTGCAAGTGAGGTCCAAAAACAGCAGAAGGGTTCCTACAAAGTGTGATTGGGCACAGACATGGCTGTCTTCAACACAGTACCTTCTAGTAAAGGAAAGAAGCAGGAAGGTTTCTGTGGGAATATATCAATACTCAGAAAATTAAAATCATGAACATGGAACAGAGAGACATATTTAGTTACCCATTAGCAACAATAAAACTTATTTTCCTCTAATGGTACTACTTTACTGCAGCTAGCATTGTACTGAGTGAAAATACATTTTTATTACGCTTTCAGCCTGGACACAGTGCACATTTTCATGGTTTTGGTTTTGTTTTTTTTTTTCCCCCCATCACTCGCAGCTGCTGTAGGCACATGCAAACAACTCAACATCCTGAGGCAGCCTGTAGAGTTGCAGCCTCACAGCCCTGCTTTGGGCTCACACAGAACTGAAAGGCTGTATCACCACTGACAAGTAGCAGTTTGAAAAAGACATAGAAGCTTGCACAGGGCCTTGCTTTGTTAGAGTAACTGGAGATTAGCTTAGGCAAGGAGGGCAGGTCAATGCCCTCTTGTTCTTCCCAGCAGAAAATTCTTGTTTCACTTACTAACAGTTTAAAATAGTGAGAACAGTCTCTGATGGGTTTGTTCTGTTCCATGTTGGGTGTGCCTGTGCTTAGATGCTCTTAAATAACCAGAATCTTCCAAGTGGAGCTTACAAGAATCTTCCACTGATTTTTTCTGTCTGAACTTTTGTGCCTGATATGACTAAATCTGTTCTAATTCCTTGGATCTCCAAGTTTGTATAAATCATCTTGTCTACTCTGATGTATATTTGCACAGAAGTTGCTGAAACAACTTTGGTTTTGAGATTTGCATTCCTTAACCAATCTAGCAAAATAGAATTTGACTTGGGAACAAAGAGAAGAGTGGAAATACAGATGTAATCAAAACTCTGCTAAGAAAACTGTTTAACTGGGAAAACAGTACACAGTTAGAACTTGCTTAATCTCCCTTCCTCTGTCAAGCTATAGTTTTGAAGTCTTCAATAAACCATGGCTTTGTTAAACTTGATTTAAACGGAAGGTCATTTTTATTCGTTTCTAAATCAAAATTATTTAGTTCTAGGTCAAGGTTCAGAACCAACTTAAACCAAGGTGAACAAGCCATCACTGGGTGCTGACTGGCAGAATCAGCCAGAACTGCTTAAGAAGTTGCTGTCCACAGTAGTTGGATGCCTCTAACTACTTGGTGATATTTAACATCTCAAAGCTGACTCCATTCCACTGAAAAATAAAGTGTCTTCATTTAGGTCAACCACTATCAACGTCAGTTCAGTCAGGCTGGTTTTGGACTGAAGTGGGTTACAGCAGGCTCTTATGCCAGGTGCTGTAGGCATGTGAAGCTTCAAAACAGTGTAATGAAAGGCACATGTTAGAATTGCAATTTCAACAACTCAATCTGCTTTTGAAGTAAATATATGTTTGCATTTACCAACACCCAATTCTGCATATTTTTGGCCTGCCCTTATTACTAATCATAGATCACAAAGCTTTTCTGAAAACAGAACTATGCCATCCTACTGAGCATATGGCCTAAACTAAAAAAAAAAAAAAAAAAAAAAAAAAAAAAAAAAAAAAAAAAAAAAAACCCACCCATACTTTACGTCTTTCTTTTTTTTTCCCCCCCACCCCAGTTTTTAAAATGGCGTTCAGTATACCAAAGATGCCTTGTGGAATGGCAAAGGCAGGGGCAGAGATTACAGCAAATTACCTTTTGAAAACGTGCCTACTGTTCACCAGTTTTGGCTCACTGGTTCAGAAGTGTGTATGCAGCAGAATTTCTTGACAAAGGAAGAGAACACATTGTAACCTTGGTTCTACAGAGCATTTCTGTACAGTTGCCTTTAAAAGAGCTTTCCTTCCAGAATGACTTTTCTCCTCTACCTAATCTATTAAAAGTTGGTATTGCAGAGAAGTTGAAAACAAAGAGTCAATGTGGCAAAGAAACAATCAGTGAAATTCTGACTAGGTTACAGGCTCAATTCATGACAGATTAAATAAACTTTGTACATAATTTTATCTCCCTGTTCTCATTTGCTTCACCATTTGTTGGCAGCCTGTAAGATCATTCATGTCCACATCCATCGCGACAGAATTGTGATTGCAACAGCTCTTCATTTTTCATAGCACAAATGTCCCGCACATGGTGCCCAGCACTAAATTCTGACTTAGTCCCAAATTAATGGACAATAAAGGCCATCTGCCATAAAGAAAAAATCACCCCGTTATGCTCTTCCATAGGATACTATTGCCTTTTAAATCCTGTGCATGGCATGAATGCAGCATGGTTGCTTCTCCAACAGTTATCTGGGTGAGCGTAGTGAGGGCTCACATAGGTGTACTGGGATGGGAGAGGAAAAGGAATGCCAGAGAAATTCATGCATCTCTCTGGAGAAGTAGTTATTCCAAAAGGTTTTGGATCCTACTCTCTAAATATGAGCTATTAAATTACCTTGAACAAAACTCCCACTTATGTGGGACAAATAGTTTATCCTTCCCACCATGCACATTTGATCATAAATTTCCTATGTAAAAACTGGATGTAGTGTTTCTGTTTTGTTTTTTGTTTTTTGGTTTTTGTTTTTTTTTTTTTATATGGAAGTCTGTCTAATGGGCTTCCAGATGCTGTAAATGTTTTTAATAGAAAGTCTATAATTTACTCAAAAATATCTGCACTCAGATGTTGCTGCTTTTTTTTCTTTTAATATGGTAAATATACATTGAAACTGTAGGCATTAATCAGAAATACTACAAGAGTGTATCTCCCTCTTATATTTAGGAATTGAACCCCTAGGCCTGATTTCCACTTACACTGAAGCATCACAGCCTAGAAATCTCCTGCTGTTATGTTCTGGTAAAGAACATGGTTTGGATGGGGGAATTTCAAAGTGACCTCATGTCAGGAGTGGACACAATCAACTTTTCCACACACTGGCTCACTTTATATATATACGTGTAATTTAGAATCATAGAATCATAGAATGGCATGGGTTGAAAAGGACCACAATGATAATCTAGGACATCCTGCAGCTTGGGGCGGCTGCTCCAGCATGTGTGCTGTGGTGGCAAGCAGCAGCAGTGACTGTAGAGATGCAAAGGCAGCTTTGACACTCTCAGAGGTGGCTCACAGAGCATCTACAGCAATGGCTCCTGCTGTCAGAGCTCCTGGTTCCCATCTCAGCTCAGAGAGATGACACAAACAACGAAAGGGACAATGAAAGAACTCTGAGAAAAGCAACTGCATGGCTGCATAGCAGCTTCATTGGGGTAGGAAACCCTTTTTGTTGATCTTGACTGCAGGTGGTGATGATCCTGTCAAAAGAGCTTTTTCTGGTTTGGTGACTCAGAAAAACAGCTATTCCTCCCACTGACTCTGCAGGTAATTTTTTGTTACTTGTACAGCAGTTTGTTTCCAGGAGCTGAAAGGCAACATCAGGAACATTTGGTGGACTCCCCATGGTGCCACATTTCGGTGCATACGTGACACTGCTTACTTGCTACTTCTTCAGGCCTGTTGCTGGCAGCAGGCAGTTTGAGTGTTTCTGCCACTTTGATGTTATCTAAGCAGCGTGAGTGATTCTAAAATTAAGCAAGAAACACAGTACCTTAAGGGAAAAGGCAACGTGACAAAATAATTCGCCTTCCCTCTGCATTAGGAAAGTCTTTCTGCAACTCTCAGAGCAAAATGCAATCTTCATGCTAGTAACTCCTTCCAGATTTTATCTTGAATTACCTGGAAACAAATTTTTCCCAATATTTGTAGCTACACCAAGAAAATCTTTTACTGCTTGCAGTGAAGAGATTATAAACTCATGCAGAGTTGATCAGGAGTGGAACTCAGTGCCCTTTGTCCCTTTGAGATTATTGTTTGCTGTTCCTACCCAGGGAAAAGTAAACAGCAAAATCCAATTACCTTATCCTCTGACTCAAATGCTGCTCAAGCCTTCCCTCAGGACAATGCTTGCATTCAGGCTGCTCTCTGAGCTTAGCTCTGTTCTTAAAATTGCAGTGTCTCCATTAGATCGATTTGCCAGAAATGTGTGGATGAAAAAGTGCTGTAATCTCACTGCATTTTGACAAAACAGAAGTCCCCTCCTTTTATTTTTTTTAAATCCTTACTGCCTCTCCCTTTCCTCTCTATGACAGGATACACAATTTCATCCTAAGAGTAAACTGTCAAGCTTGTACCAGAAGCTGATGGAGGATGCAGAAGTTGGCTTTCAGATGACAAGGCTTTTCAGGTGATGTGACTACCCAAATGGTTAAGATTGCTTGATGGTAAACAGCAGAAATAGTTCAGTGTTTCCCTGGAACAAGTGGAAAAATTCTATCTCCTCCTGGGGTTCCTGTAACACTAACATAACTTGAAAGGCACTCTGGCAGATCCATGAAGTACATACTGGTTCAGTTTCCTGCTTCATTAAGAACTATTTCATTGAAGATTTTGGTTTTAACCACTCAAGTCAAGTTACAGACAATGTCATGTCCAAAAGCAGTGATCCCATGTAGCTGAACCCTAGAACTGTTGCCTCTCAAGCAGGTGAAAACCATGACTGAAGCTGTCAGCTGAGCTAATACCCCAGCCCTAGGAAGCTGAGCCCTCTTGCAGCCTTTGCTGGCAGCACTGTGTGAGAAGATACAATGCACAGTGGCCTTTTTGGGAGAGGAGGAAAGGAGACCTCTGGATAACATCTGCCAAGCTGATGTTTCTACCTAGGCTCAGGCTAGCCACCAGCATTTGCTACAGTAGGAAATGGTAAAAAGAAGTGGCCTTCTTGGGATAAAAAGGGGAAGGACAGAGCTATAGTGATATGGAAAGCCAGCAACAGGAACACTGATCATCATTGGAATCCAGCCTGGCTCTGTCCTGGTGTACAAGTGCCACTCCAAGTACACTCCTAAGTGAAAGCAGCCTAAGTGGCTGCTAGTAGGTCTTTTAGTTTTCTTCTCATGTGTTTCCCCCTGCTCTTATATGTTTCTTTCCACTCCTGCCCAGAGCAACAATGATCCTTCCTCCACCTTAAAGATAACCGTCAAAGAACCATGTGCAATATCCTGCAATTTGCTCCCTATGCTCAAGTTTCCAATAATACCAGTGTTTAATAGAGGTTATCCCCTTTTCCAAATCCACCATGAACTGTTTCATGCAAAACCCAGTAACTCCATCCTGTATAATCCTGGTATGTCATTATGGGGCAAATACCTCAGAAAAGAACGAAATGAATGGAGATTGCACAGATTTTCAGTATTCTGAATATTTTAGCCACATTTTGAATGAAGATTATCAATGAACCAATGCCTATCGTGCTTTGTATCCAAACACAGGTCAACAGCTTGCATCTATATGAAATGCAGAAAATTTTGTGGTATGTTGTATTATAATGCATCAATACAGTTTGGTTATGAACATACACTTTAAAAGATTCACACAATAAATATTACTGCTTGGCGCTTAATCTCATCTGCTGAGTGGTGACACAGGACCTTAGCACTGTTCAGAAAGATGTATAGGCAAGCAGAAAAGATGTCCATTAATGTTATTTCAGTTTCCATCTGGCCTATTCCCTGTCTAGCTCTGATCTCTTCTTCTATTTAATGACACCACTTGAATGCCAAAGCTAATTTGGAACTTAGCAGCCTACTTATTAAGTGGGACTTTATGACAGGAGAGCATTATGGTGCTACTCAGGCAGCTGCACTGGCTGCCAGAGAGCCTATGGGGAAAATACAAAGCTTTCAAGGCTCTAATTGTTTTGGATCTAGGTTATTTTGTCAGGAAAAGAGGTACTCCACTTTAAGAAGCCTTTATATAAATGAGAGGTGGGAGACAAGGGCACTTGGCTATTCAGGTCTGTTTCTCCTGAGATTAAACTCCCATATGTGCTATTAAGGCCTATTTTCCTGATGGAGAACTGGGAAAGAGATGGTTATAGAAGCTCCATGCAGCGTACAATTAGCTTATGTGCTGAGTGCAGTAGCATTAGCTGGTACAATAGTTAGAAGATGAAATTCTGTTATTTTGAATGTTACCATGAACTAAGAAGACCATTCCATCTTTGGAAAGACACTTTTGTCATGTACACCTTGTAAAATGTACCTAAATGCAATATACTTTTGCAAATTGTTCTCTGAGGGCTCAAGAAAACCAGAACACTAAGTAGTTCACATTACAATTCAGAACGCTATAGCAAGACTGATCATGGACTTAAGAGTCATTCTTTCTTTCTTTTTTTTTTTTAATAAACAAAGCAAAAGGGCAACAAAAAAGCAGTGCTCCCTTTTAAGAAAAATGAAGTTAACCGACCTTTAATTAATTCTTTTATCTAAAGGTAACACAATTGCCTGCCTTCCACACAAGACTGTAGGGGCTGAAGCATGGACCAAATGCCAGGCTAGCGAGAGACCCTCACTTCAATGCTGAGCATCAAGAAGAGTGGGCCAGTGCCCCAAAGAAGGACTCAGACCACTGCACATGGGGGAAAAACACCAGAATCTCACAAGTTTTGCAGCTCTTCCTACCAGCTGTTAAGGACAGACAAGGGACCAGTACCACCTTCAAAAGGGTACAAGATGCTCCTTTGGCAGTTAAAGAAAACCAGCAAATGCAGATCCAAACTACAGTTATGCCGCGGATCTTACATTTTCCAAAGTGACTGTCTCCTTCAGGCAACATCAAGGACTCATCTGACAATACAAGCAGCACTCTTTGTCTGAATTCTCATCTTAAAGCACATGACTTCCTTTTTTAAATTAAGTTGCTAACTTAATAACAGCCCTGTCTTTTAGAGTGCCAATTTAATGCCTGTAGATAAAATATGATGCAGTTATTAAAGAGCAGGTAGCAGCACACCCCATCATCTCCCTGAGTGAAGTGTGGGCCAATCCATCACAACATAAGACGTTGTGTTCCAGCTGGTGAAAGGGAGTAGCAGATGGGGATGGGGGAGTGCATTTCCAAACACAGAGCTAGTCTGCGGTGGTGCAATTTATCTGGGACATACAATTAGTTCAGGAAAAGCAGAGAGGTTTGAATAAATGAAATGAATTTCGTATAAGTGGGCCTTGTCTGCATGCAGAAATCTTGTTGGTATAACTCTAGCAAAATTGTACAGATCTGGGTGTGAAGCCCTATCTAGATACTTTCACTTGGTTTCAGGGTGACTGAATTACCAACGTCATCCATACTCAGCCAAAGAACCTTTTGCATAAGCTTAACCTTTGCAACATATTCCTGTACCTGATACTGTCACAGCTTTATTCTCTAGTATGTTAACATAAGATTGCTGTTTCTTCTGAGCAAGTTCCACTTAGTTTTTCAGATTCATGCATCCCCTGGGCCTCCCTGAATCTGCTGAGCCCACAGAGAAATGCATTTTAGTTCAGTGAATTCATTGAGATCCTCACTGCATCATGAAGACAGAAACCTGAGGTGAGTCAGCATTCAGAACACAGCAAAACATTCTTAACAGGTACCTTTAAAGTAAAGAGACAGAAGAGATATCTGAAATGCCCCAAAAGTGATATCTGTTCATCTGACACAAACCAGGATCGAGTCTGTGAAATCCCAACTCCACCATCCATAGAGGTGAAGGAATCAAAACAAGAGCTGAGTCCTCATGTGAAAATATTGCAGTTCACTCATTTTACCTCAGTTTTCTTGGTATATTTTCCAGATATGTGTGTATGTGTTTCTGATTTTATATCTATTACATAACTTTCATGAATTACTTGATTCCATCAGGACTGCTGTAGCCCAGATAGTTCTGTAGATGTTGTATCTATCTCGATGGTGTCCAAGAGTACAGTAAATGATATGCAGCAGCATGCAAGGACTCAGAGTGCCTGAGATTAAAAAACGAAGAAATTTCAGTTTATCATTTTGTCTTTTCCACAGGTAAAGCTGCCATAGGCCTTTACGGCTGCTACAGGCCGTAATCCTCCTTGTCTGAAGCCAAATAACACAGAGAATCAAAATGCCTTTGCGAGCTTTGAAATGAAACAGTAAGAAGTCTAGAGAAGATAATTCCATTACAATCTTTATAGTTGGGCACATCCAGTATAGTCAATGAAGGAGATAGACAGTAATCTCAACCATAATTGCTTTTGAAAAGATTTGTTTATCTATTCTTTCCTTAGTCGAATATCCAGGCAACAGAATCACTCAAAAAATCAGAATTCTGCTGTATTTCTTACCCTTCCCCCCAGCAATTTCTTCACGCATACTGTTATGTTATCTTACAGTTCTCATCTCATCTCATCTCATTTAGTGGGAGCTATTGGTAATAGATGAACTGTTGGACTGGATGATCTTTTAGGTCTTTTCCAACCTTGGTGATTCTATGATTCTATCTGGCCGTTTCTTGGTGCCCTAAAGAGTACTAGCTAAATGACAGATCTCCAGAAAAGTAAGAGCCTTGTTACTTTTTGCTTTACTTTCCCTCCCTCCTGAAAACCACTATGGCCAAAACTGGAGCAGGGAAGCTGGGTATCAGAAACACATGCTTTGCATTGGTGAGAGTGAAGAAGGGCTGTGTGAGCTGTGTGGCACTGCACCCAGCCAGTCTCTGTGCTTGGTGGAGAGGCTTGATTGCAAGGGCTGCAAATTTAGAACAAGGGACAAGAGGGCACTGTCTCCTCCTGAGGCTGGTCTGTCAACCCTAGCAGATGAATAAAGATCAGTGTCACATAAATATTTCAGGTCTTCTTTGTTTGTTTTGGGTGTTGAGGCGATCAGTGCTGTCATTGGTTGACTATTAAAGTTATATCTGAACAAGGAGAAGTTATTAAACAGTCCCAAGAAAAGTTAACAGCAATTGAAATATCTCCTTCAGAGAATTTACTGAAGCAACACAGCAGAAGTTGAATAATTCCTCCCTTGGATTGTCTCTAGCTGGCTTCAAGTGGCCAAGTTCACTTAACACTGACCAACAAGGAATTGATCTCATCAGTTTTATCTCTGCAGCCACCTGCATGTACAGTTATTTGTACTCATTAGAGCAAACTCTGAAGAAGAGTAAGGCTAATGACCCAGTGTATCAGAGGAGCCGTCTGAAGCTCATGCCACCAGATCGCTGGAACTAAGTTTTCAGATATGCTCATTACACCAGGCAGGAAGCCCAGGATGCTGACATGCTGTAGGGAAAGTCCACTCAGGTTGTGGTACAGAGCATTTAGGTCTCTCGTGACTCAGAGATGGTGGAAGCACATAAACCTTGCCACTGATTCTCTTCTCTCCCCTTACCTATAGCTTCCTCCCATTGCCAAGCCAAGCAGATTTCAAATGCTGGAAGCATCCTGGTTCTGAAGCCTGCGTCCTGAAGGTAGCGAAGAAAGACAGTCTACTTTCTGCAGGGTTCAACCTTATAGACATGTTCTCAAACAGAGCAAAAAACTGGTGGGTATTGCTTCTGCTGGGGAAAAAAATAGCAGCGCTGTTTATAACAATGGCTTTATTTTTCTCCATTGGAGAGATTTGAAATGCAGAATAGTCAGCATTCCACAATTTCTGCCCACGAGCAAATATGAGATGGCTCCAAGATGCTTTGCTTCCTTGTAATGCAGAAAATTTCTAATGAGAAGCCAATTTTCTGAAAACTGGAGATGCTGCAGCACACACAGCCCTTGGAGAGGAACCTTGTAAAGCCAAGTGGAAGTGGAAGTAAATCAGGCTGCGCTGGAAACTGATGGGAACCCATAGCAATGAACAGAGTGTCTGTTTCAAATAAATAGTCAAAACTTAAAAAAATACTATGTTTTTCCAGGAGATCATCCCATAACCAATACTAGAAGGTGTTTTTCAGCCTCTGATTAAGCTATGTGTCTTTACAGGCATTTGGATACACTACAGTCATTTTAAAAATTCTTCTCATTATAAAGCATGTGCAGAAATATTTGCTGATACATGCTTTTGCAGCTTTTTTGATGCATCAGTTTTCTACTGTAAGTAAAAACATAGCCTGCATTCAGTGATCAGCTGTCAGAGAGGGAAGGGAAGGAACTGGACAAGTGCATTTCAGCCGACTTCTACCACTAAGGACCTGAGAACAGTAATCCAAACCAGATGTAGGGAAAAAATGAGAGACCCATAAATACAGTCATTCTAATGCCTGTTTGATTTCCCGCATTCGTAAGTGCTTTACCGATGAAAATTGCAGTGTGTTCATGAAGCAAGGATCTGTGCTCATACTCATTTCTGCCCCACTCCTTGCTACCTTTGAACATGAATGTCTGTCACTTTTGCTTCTCTGGGATCTTTGCGGAGGGCTTGTCCTTTCCTTTCACACTGCTTCTTTTCCCATTTTCTCCTTCTTATTGATCTTCTTTTAGTTTCTTCTCTGCATTCGTGCGCATTGCTTGTGCTCAGCTGCTTGGTTGGGGGCACCTTGCAGCAGTGTTTCAGCCCACACTTGGAGTGCCCCCCTAACATCGTTCACCTGATTATCCATCCCTCCTCTCACCATCATTTGCTTCACCTAAAGAACAGCAAGCTGAATAGAAAGATGCACTCCAGCTTGCTAGTGAGCAGTCTGTGTTTGGGGTACAACCAAAGTTTATCCGAGGTGTAAATGGCTGAAGCACACACAGTGTGGTCTTCACCGCATTTTGCTCTGTGAAACCAACCCAGAGCACTTCACCAAGCACTGACAGGACACAGCAAACACCAGGTGTGCCCACACTCTAAGGCCACTCTGCGCCCTATGAACACATCTGCCAGCTCATACCCTTGCTTTGTCAGTGTGCCGTTCCTTCCTGCTTCTTCCTCAAAATATCCTCTCTGCAGGGAGAGCAGCTCATCCACAGTCTCCCCTGCTCGCAGCTGCCTGCTGAGGACAGGAGGTGTCTGTGAGCTGCCAGGAAGGGGATGGCACGGGGACCCCAGCATCCCTGGCCCTTTCACAGCCTGAATAATTGTTCCTTCATGGCACAGCAGAGAAACACTGGTTTGTGTTTCAGCAAAGCACAGCTCTGCTGTTTTAGTCTGAAAGAAGAAATGTTTTCAGTCTCTACACAGTCAGGCTCTTTGCATTTCAGACAAACGGACTCGTGAAGATTACTGAATTCTTCTCTCAAACTGTTGCAAAGCCCACAGGAGGACCTCTCAGCCCCTGCTGGTCTGTGTCTCTGTGGTATCTCATGCTTCTAAGACTCAGTCACCTTCTACATCCTACCTCCTGCCTTTGCCAGGAGCAAATGCTGGTGCAGGAAGCTCAGAGACCACCACCATCTCCTGCAGGGACAGGGACTGACTGCCCCGGTGGCTGTCCAGAATCAGCAATGAGCTCTGCTTCAAAACTGTTGCTGTCAGGTTTCTATGCCTTCTAAAAGCCCGTGGCTTCTGCAGCACACTGGTAGCTCTTGGCAGCCTGAGGCAAGCCTCAGCATTGCTGCAGCACACAAATATTATCTTCTGGAAAAGAGCCATTCTTCTGGCCTCTGTCCCAATGCACTTGTTTTGTAATATGTGTCATGACTAAGCATCAGAAATTAGCAAAACACTGGGAACAAAAACCAAAAGTTTTGAGCCAAATGAAAAGCACTTCTGGTATTCGGTTTGTGAATTTGCACTCTCAAATAAAATCAGCAGTGGAGAGGGCAGAATAAAACCAAAGTGTGGGAGCTTGTAATGCAGACTCCACCAACACAGCCATCCGTTCCGAGCTCTGCGTGGTTTTTTAAGTGCACACATTCTAAATTACAAAACCCAAGAACAAAAGCTAACAAAAAGATGTATTTTGACACTGATGTTTAAAGTGAGTCACGTAAAGTTATCCATATTTTCTGCATTAAGCACATTGATAAGCTGACTTTTCTTCGAGACTAACTCAACAGATGACGATGCCATCACATCCAGAAGATCGAACAAGCATTTCTATTCACACATGGCAGAGTGGGAGGTTTGTGCAAAGATGGACAAAGAAATATGCAGAAATATGAACAGATGCGAATTAAAACAAGGTGATTTGTTTGAAAACGGTCACTCAGAAACATAACAGTGCTGAATGGGCATTTTTTTCGCATTATCAGAAAGGTGATAAGAATATGTTATTATATTCTTGTCATCTTAGTAGTAGCTTAAATTCTATTTGTATGTTTCATATCTATGTGAAACCTTTACCTGAAGTGCATATAGCTACAATTACAACTCCATATTCCACTGTCCCATGGGCAGTGACTATCATAAATATCATTCAGAAACATATCTGCCCTTTTGTCAGCAAGAGAGAAGGCGAGGATGATGAAAAACTCTGAGATCCAGCTCAACTTGCACAGAGCCACCATGGTGCAATACGGGCTGTAAAGCTCTTCACGCCCAGGGGCTTCAGTTGACGTCAGCCTTCAGGTCTGTGTGTCCATCAGGGCTTGGGGAGAGGAAACAGATTTGCACCTCCCTACTAATAGAAGTGTTTTCCAGCTGTGATTATGTATTTCACTGGACTTCAAACCTATAATCCACAGCTTTGTAGTGGCACTTGTAATGTAATTGCAAGCTGGTACATCTGATTGCAAAGATCACTGATAATTTTGCTGTTCTACTGATTTCTTTCTAGCATGGTCATTAATTAATAAACTTCTTAATCAGTTTGCATCAAGCTTGCATCAGTTTGCATCTTGAGTCTTCAGCCTGCTGGGAAAGTGTCAAAGCTTGGCAGTAACTGCGTTAACAGCAGACTGAACCCAACATTTTCTTCAGCCTGCCAGTGTCCAATTGCCTGCCAGAACACAGTATGAAGTTAATCACTCATTACTTATTGCCCAGGTCCTTGATAATCGGCACAGCTGCCCTTGACTAGTAAAGAAATCTGAAGGCCAGAGCGTCCTTCCTCCAGAATCCAGGTTATCAGAAATTATTTCCAAATACTGCTGTCACAGCAGACCTCAGTGCAGTGTGGGATTAACCTCTGGCAAATAGGCAGCTGGAAAACAGACACAAGTCTCAGGACAAACTCTCCCATACATCCTCCTACAAATGAATGAGGAAGGCTCAACACACTACTGGCACCACTGAACATTTGGCAGAAACAAATGAATTGCTGTTTATACAGTCAGCAGTACCAAATTTCAGTATTCCCAGACCTGTAATTTCTTATTTTTCTGCTTCTACTAAAAATCAAGTTTGGCAAACATTAATCATGTTTAATTGAAGTTGGAAAAGACTACTCTTAGTACAATGAGACAATTTTCTAAATGGAAGAGAAACTGGCACTGAATTCCAAATTTCGTAAGGGAGCTTTTGGCTGTTGAACGGTCTCAAACATTTTGGCTTTTTATTGGATACACGAGATCAAACTTCGGACATTTGCCTTTAACATAGCAAGGCATCAAGCCTTACTTTGAAACTGAGTCAAAAACCTTTCATGACTTTATCTCGCTGTCTATAGCTCACATTTGTCTACCCTTGCTTATATGTTTACATTCCTCTCTCATAAACATCTTTCTTCTTTTGCTGCAGGTAGCTGTTTCTACACAAAGTACAGTTACCCCACATGTTTCAATTCAGGGGCACACTGCCCCTGAATTGTAACATGTGTTAGACCCAAAGGAGTCTAAGGTGCTTCTGATACCTCCTCCTCCTTTGGTTCATATATTTGAGTTCCAGCAGTTCCATTGGTGAACCCAGGGCCACCTTCAAGTTTTCACATGTCCATGCTCCCAGAGCAGTTTGTTTAGCCCCATGTTTACCAGCAATGTATGAGACACTCAAAACTGGCGTGTTATGAACAGCTTTGATGGAAGTTTTTCTGGTTTGAGCAGAGGGCTGAAACCACCAGCCTGCAGTGGCTGCCCGCATCAGTCATTCCAGTTGACAGTTGCCTTTCTGCAGGACCATAACACCACACGACAATTTGGAGAAACAGGGACATCCTGAAGCCTCCAATCCAGCCCATTCATGTCCCCAGCAGGTTCAAATGTGGGTCACGGCTTTACCCCATGAAGGCTGGAAACCCTACAAG